GCAGCCCCCGCGGCCGGAGCGCGCCCACCTGAGCCCGCTGCGCCCACCTGAGCCCGCTGCCCGTGCGCCGGCGCCATGGCGGAGCAGGAGAGCCTGGAGTTCGGCAAGGCGGACTTCGTGTTGATGGACACCGTCTCCATGCCCGAGTTTATGGCCAACCTCAAGCTCAGGTGAGGGCGGAGCGGCGGCCGGCGGGGGCGCGGGGCTGGACATTCCCGGGAGGGGCGCTCCCGGGGTGCGGCCGGCGTCGGGGAGTCAGGGGGCTGCAGGGCTCAAGCGTTGCCCTTCCGGGGTGCAGCGTTGGGGTGAAGGGGCGCGCCGGGGTTGAGGAGTGCTTTTGCCTGAAGGTGCGATTTGTCCCCGGTGTTGTCTGGCTTGGGGACCTGAGGGGCTCGCTGAGCTAGAGGCGCTCTAGGGGCTGCGCTCCTGCCTGCTCCGCGCCAGGTGAGAGAGGTGGGCGGGGCCGGTGACTTCATGGAAACAAAAGTAAAGGAAAAGAAAAACTTTAGAGAGAGTCGTGGTGTCCCGATCGCCGCGAGGAAGACTGGGGAGCTGTTTTGGAAAGGGCCTGGCATCTCCTCCGTGTTTCATAGTTGCTTCTTTTCTTGCTTGCTTTCTTCTTTTTTCCTGACTTTGCTCCATCATGTCATTCAGGATGCTATAGGGTGATCCCTGAGCTGCCTGTCTTTTCCGGGACACCGGCTATTTTTTTAGTTACTACTAGCGAAACCTAATTAGACACGTTTCCAGACATGGAAGAGACTGCTATGCTTGCCAGTGCCAAGATAAACTGTCTGAATTTGACAAGGCATTCATGGTTTCAGTTTTTTCAGGGAGTTATGGATGGAGTCCTTGTGTTACTGACATCCTTAAGAATGTAGTCACAACTCAACACCCCTGAAATGGGCTTCCAAGAAGAATTTGTTCTATAATCTACTTGTGATTATTCGTTTTGATAGAGTAATACTTACAGCTTTAAAGCCCTTTGACTTTTAAAAAATTACAATGAATGAAGTTTCAAAATAGCTATGGGGTGGGGAGGTTCCTGGAAGCTCTGCCTCATTTCTTGTAAAATTTATAGCCTAACATTACTCCTTAAATTTATAAAGTGAAAATCATAATCTAGGTTTGGATGCTTCACTAACTCCACTTCTCAGTATTAGTTACTCGTGTCAACTCTAAGACTACAGACTGAGTTCTACAGCTGGTTACTACAGATTGACTATGAGCTGGTTAGAGGACTTCAATTTCCTCATTTGTGTAAGAATGAGGGCTCCAAGATTTCCTTCAGGACTCATTCTCTGATTTGAAAGGTAGGCAGCTTCAAAGCTGCACAGTATCTTTTTGAATAGAGTGTTGCGTGGTAGTATCCTAATTGTCCCTCAGGAGATTGCTTCTAGGACTTCCTGTGGAGTTTAAAGTCTGAGGACTGTGCAGTCCCTTATATAAAATGATGTGGTATAGTACTCCATTTCTGCAAGGAATGTGCTCTAAGACCCCCTGCTGATACCTAAAACCTTAAATAATACCAAACTCTGTACATGCTATGTTTTTTTCTATCCTAGATACCAATGATCCAATTTAATTTACAAGTTGGGCTTAAGAAATTAAAAACAATAAAGTGGAATTGTTATAACAATATAGCATAATAAAATAATGCTATAATAAAATAATTGTCCTGACAATACTATAACTCCATAATTATATAAATGTGGTCTTTCTCAAAATATTGTATGCTACTCACCTGTCTTGTTGATCTTGAATAACTGAAACTATAGGAAGTGAAATTTCAGATAAGGAAGACTGCTGTATTTGCACATAACCTGTGCATATCCTTCTATATACTTTAAATCATCTCTAGGTTACTTATATCTAATATAAATCCTGTGTAGATAATTATACTCTATTACTTAGAGAGTAGTAATGATGAAAAAAGTTTGTACATCTTCAGCATCAGCACATTCCCCCCCCATTTTTGGGGTGAGGGGGTACCTCAGTCAAACAGGATCTTGCGCTTGTCAGGCAGGTGCTATGCTGCTGAGCTGTAGTCCCAGACCTCCGCCAACTGTTTTTGATCCTCAGTTGATTTGAGGAAGAGAAACCAGCAGATATAGAAGGCCAGCTGTAGTCCATTTGATTATATACATGGTATTATGCTAGCATGTTAGATTTTTTACCAAAGTTAAGGCCCATCTCGTAGAAACAACATGAAATACCATAATAATCAGCCTAAATGACATACCTCCACACCAACTCTAACTAGTACCTTCTATCATGGTTAAGAATAAGATTGAGATTCAAATTTTAGTTGTCCCATGTTTTTGCTGCGGTCTTTGGGCAAGTTACTCAAATCTGTGCCTTGATTTTATATATAGAATTTAGTTGTTCTGACAATGCTATAACTCCAAAAATTAGTGTCTGGTAAATACTTATTAACAGTGGTGTTTAAAGTGTTCCCAGGTGCCCAGAGTTTTTCCAAGTGCACATAAAGCAGAAAAAGAGGTAAATAAAGCAATAATTTGATAGATTAAATTTGTACAAAATTATTTAAGAAATTCCAGGGACCAGGGAGATGGCTCAGTGGAATAAGCGCTTCCCTGGCAAGCGCAAGGGCCTGAGTTCAATCTCCGGTTCCGCAAAAAAGAAAAAAAAAAAAAAGAAATTCCACCCTTCTCCCCCAGGAAAGAAGCTGTGTACTTTGAGAAACCCCTTTATAATTTAGTCACTCTTGACCTATAATCATTTCAGCTTATCAGACATTAAGTGCATTTATTAAATACATCCTGCACAGGAGCTACTACAGTAATAGCTGAACATGGAGCCATTCATTACAGCCTTTATAGGTGACCTCTAGCAAATACCTGACTTTAGCCAGAACTTAATCTTTTAAAGAGAAAAAAGCAAAACAATGATAAAAGAATTCCAAAACAAGATAATAGGACATTAACGGTGGTTAATATATTGTGTATTATTGTCTTCAAAGTAATTGTTCAGATTAACAAGAACTTTACAAAACTTTTCCAAATTTGAAATTAATGTCTTAGAGTTATATTTGTTTGTGTTGCTATTCCTCTGAAACAGAATTAAATCTCTTTGGATTTTTAAAGTTGCTGTTAGTGGTTTTTTGTTTGTTTGTTTTTTAGTGCTAGGGAATCAAACCCAAGGCTTTTAACATCTTTTGTTTTGAGTACATTGGAGGAAATCAATTTTTTTCTTCCTTTTCTTCTTTAAAAAAAAAAAAAAAGATTTCACATTCGTTGGTTGCAGAGCCTCAAACTGTCATGTGTCATGTTTGAATGTTTGTGTTCCTCAGGTAAACCTAACTTAATTCCTTTGTACAAAGGAGAGAAAATTACAGTTTTATTCTATGTTACTCAAGGTGCTCTAGAGGATGCAGCAAGTAGATCCAAACAACTGAATAAAATATGCTCCTTACCTCTTAAAGAGGCGACATGTCAATGAAACAGGGAGAACATAAAATTTCTATTCGTTTCAAGAACGGTGATTATTTGCCAAGTGCTTATACACAGTGTTCTGAAGTTCAGAAGAGGGCGAGGTGCCATAGACTGAGTCAGAGACACCATATACGGAGGAGCTGAGCGCAGTCTCTGAGGATGGGGTAGTACACACTTGTCTAGGTGGACATGTGGGTGGAGAACATTCCAGGTTGGTAAAGTAGCATGAGCAAAGGCAGGTGGCATGAAAGCTGACTCTGTTTGGGTCACAGTGAATAAGCCAAGTTGTCTGGAAGGGAAGGAGGTGGTGTTAGGGAATCTGTAGGAGGAATCGCCAATTCTCAGTAGCATGATTCTTGGCCAATACCCAGGTCTCTAGGTCTGCCTTTACACCCCATCATCATGTCAGTCAAGATTCTGGATTTTCAGGAGTGTATCTCATCCATATGTGTGCTTCATAACTCTTAAGAATTAAGTGTATAAGTTAGAGTAGTTAATTCCCTGTTGTGTAAATACCAGTCCCAGCAAAGGGTAGTACCATGCCAGCTTTCCAGCTGTAAATTGTGATCCATAGATGAAATAGTCCTCTCTCTGACTCTTTGAATGCCGTATCACTTTGGTATCCTCCTGGCTACTTAGTCTTCCTGTGTATACTCCTGGGCTTCTACTTCTGTGTCCCCTGCATATTTCACTTTGGTGGTCAGACCTGACCAGAATCCACTATTGCAGATCACATGCTCTCAGGCAGTGTTTAAGTATTTTTGTCTCCTGGAATATTGATGGTTTGTGCAGTGTTGAACATGGAGATAGTTCAGCGGTCTAAGTGCCTGCCTGGCAAGTGCAAGGACCTGGGTTCAATCCCTGATACTGCATGCCTGCTGGCCCCACATGCCTGTTGGCCTTGCCCTGTGCTGGCCACTGAAACCGGGTGTGGCGGTACATGCCTGTAATCCCAGCACTGGGAAAGCTGAGACAGGAGGATCACTATGAAGTCCAACCTGCATAGCAAGACCCTGTACCAAATAAATAAATCTTTAAAACAAAGAATATAGGAGAATGGACTGTATTTTTGTCTATGGGCGGATGTATATGTGTGATTGAAATTCCTATGCTTGCTTGTGATTACTCCTGCTCTTCCTGTGTTTCAGCTACTGCTGTCTCTCCCCAGTCTGGAATGTCCTGCCTCCTGTTTTCTACCTGGTTCATTTCCCAGTTCCTTCATTTAAAGCCTGTAAAATACAGCAAAGCACTTAAGGCTGCATTTGCTTCAGGGGCTGCACTCCTCTTTCTTTGTTTCTTTTTCTTTTCTTTTTTTTATTTTTTCTTTTTATTTTTTTATTATTATTATTATTATTATTATTATTTTTTTTTTTTGGCAGAACCGGGGTTTGAACTCAGGCCCTTGTGCTTTCCAGGGAAGCACTTATTCTACTGAGCCATCTCCCTGGCCCCTTTTTTTAGATACGAGGTTCACCATGTAATTCAGACAGGCCTTAAACTCACTATATGGCTGAGGCTGGCCTTGAACTCAAAGTGATCCTACTGCCTCAGCCTCCCAAATGCTGGGATTACAGGTGTGTACCATCATACCCAGCCTCAGCGGTCTCTGTTATTGAAATTTTGTATCAACTGTAGTAACTAATGCAGTGCTGGTACTTTCCTTTGTGATAATTTTTGTAAGGAGGGAGAAAAGGAATGTTTTAGTGAATTTTTTT